AAATTTGTATTTAAAAGCGTTTACTTGTGTTGTTTTACATTGTGAAGCGCTTGCTATTCAGTTTTTTAAAGTTTTGTATGTCGATTGAGTTATTACAGTCAAAACTGGCAGCTTAGTTGATAATAATGATCTAAAAAAAGAATCAATAGATTAAGCCATAGTATGAATCTTTGGTTTTCTGTCATGTGTTTGTTGTAAATAAGGGCTTCCACTTGCAGCTCTTTTTATCGTCATATTATCTGCACACCGTTTTCCTCATTAATCTCCGCTCTACAATGCCAGAAAGAGCTGAAAAATGCACATTTTCGAAGTAAAGAGCAAGATTCCCCCCTGCCCCTGTTTATCGATCAGTTAAAGTAGTAACATGTCGGTGTCCAGGTAGATGGTGTGTTTGTTTGCTCATCCAACGTGAGCTCAGGGCGTAGACTCAAATGCAGAAAGCCCAGGTGCTGCAGAAAGGCCTGAAATCAAATAGTCGCATAAATCTCTTGGCTGACCTAAGCACAGCATGGAGCAGAGCAGCACATGATGAATCACAGCTGGTTGCTGCTGCAGTGAAGTTGAAGTGAAAAGGGAAGAGGTGGTGTTTATAGACCTGTAGTTTGGGGTCACCACTTTGTAAGACTTCCGGTTAGAGACTGCTGTTCTCTCTCTAGTGCAAGTTTCTTTGTAGATTCTTTTTTAAATTCATGTTAACAGCTAATTAAGTGAAAAGCCATATACACTTGTTGTGATTGAGTTTCTATCATTATATTGTCTTTTATTTATTTTTTTGGGTTGGGTGGGGAAGAAGAGCTGGGCATCACCGGAGAGACCTTTGAAAGCGACATTTAAAAAGTTACTCAACAGTCACTTGAAGTTTTGCTCTTCACTGCGTCTTTTTCTGCGGGTTGTTTAATTGTGAGTACAAGTGTGGCCATTACTGAACTGCACTTCTTTGTTGTGTATTTCTGCCCCTGAACTTAGTCAGAAGAGTTGACAAATGAAGAATTTGCTTGCCTCTCTGTTAAAAGTTAACATGTGGCGCTACTCTTTAGTTGTCTGCCGGTCATAAGCAGCTCATTCATCATCAGTGTTTGCTTCCATGTCATTGGCTAACTATCTGAATACTACAGCCCAACTGCTGCCTCTAATATTCTTGTTTTTCTTCCCTTTGCTTTCTTTCTTTCTCCCTTTTTTTTTTAAATTTCTGATTCGCCAGAGCGACAGGAATCAAAGCAGGGAGAGAGATCACAAGGGGACAAAAAGCAAAGAACGAAGCGGAGAGAGGGAGCTCCCTTCAACTGTGAGCCAGACGGCGGCACGAGACAGAGCCATCCAACAGAAGAGGAAAGAGATAGATGAGGTGGATGGGGTGTCATTACACTCACACACACATGCACATTCACACGCACATACACGTGTTGGGAGAAGGGGTAGCTATAAACAGAAAAGTAAAGATAAGAAAAGCTGGGATTAGAGCGAGAGTGACGGAGGGAAGATCTGAGGAAAGCGCCAGGAGACGTGAGACAAGGAAAAAAGATTTGTTTGTTGTAGTATAAACATTAGATTTGAAATGCAGAGCCAGAGGCAACACGAGTCTCATTACTGGCTTCTCTTTGCCAGGTCTGACAAAGAAGGTTTTATTCACTATTTTACATGATAGATGGTGTTATTCTTTCTTGTTATTCTTATTTTTATTTCTCTAATTGATCCTCAATGTAAAGTGAGGCCGGCTCACCTGTATCACAGGCAACGTGCTTTAATGCCGCCTTCGATGTGACAGACGTCACTTGAGGTTCTGCTTATCTGTGTTTGTGTGAGAGAGTGTATGTGTGCTTCCACCCACTTGATGGAAAAGATGGCCTCTTGCTTTTCATATCTCCATGGTTGCAGGATTATAGATGCACTGCAAGAAAAAGACAGTCTGGCAACAGGTAGCTGATGCAGAAATGTCCACAGAACTCCGTATGCACACGTGTGCGCACATATAAATTGTGAGCAGTCAGCGTGCGAGCATTTCGGTGGAATAATCCATTCAGTGTAATTGAAAATGCACTCTTCCTTTCCACCAACAATCCCACTTTGTCCCCCTCTTTGTCCTAAAACCATGATTGCATTTGTCTTTCAGGTGTACTATCAGGAGTGTGAAATGTTTGGCTTTGTAGTAAAGATGCTGATTAAAAAGGATCCATCTCTGGAGCGTCCCATCCAGTCCTCTTTACAGCAGAACCTCCGGGACATCGGCAAACGCTGCGTAGAAGCAATGGAGAAATTTATCGAGGACTACGACTCCAGGGAGCCGTCACACTGATCAGACACGCCATGCTGCCTGTGTTCTTAGTCTTTTAAAGTGCTGAGAACTTGATTTGATTTATTGCTGCTTTTGTTTTCTTATTTGTAATAATCTTGTGCATTGCTGTCTGTTTCTTGGATAATAGTCCCCTCTGTCTACAGTGTAATTCTGAACACTGGTAAAAACGTTTTGATTATGCTTGTTATTTTGAAAATGTGCTGGTGATGATGACGATGCACTGGTTGTATTGCTTTAAAAGGTCTCATATAGACTGAAATATATTTTGGCATAATTTATTTTTGCTTGCAATAAACTTTGTTTACAGCGTTTTAAACATTATGTGGTCCAAAAATATGCTCAGTGATGTGTTCATGGCTATATAGATCAATTCAGGTCACAGCAGGAAATACATTAATAGGTCAGTAGGTGACTTGGACACACACTATTATCTATGGTTTCAACACCTGTAGATTCTATGATATTTGATATAGACCATTGTTGCTCGTCTTACAGCCTGATTCACGCCCCCTCTGCCGATCATTGTTTAGTGCACTAAATTGTGTGAAGAGGTTCAAGCTATGGATGTGTGAAAAGAAAATAGACCCTCATTCAGTTCTAAGGTTTTACATATCAGGACATAATAATAAAAAAAGCGCCACCTAGTTTTTACCAGTTTCTAAAATTATTTAAATTTAACCTCAGAAAAATAACACATGACATAATAAACCATGTTATTATTTATTTAACAAAAATTAACCCAGAATCCTGAAGCGGTGAGTGAAAACCTGTGTGTACCATGTAATTCAGTATTGTGTACAACCAACTTTATTAACAATAATCTGAATCTCGTTCTCTGTGACTTTGTTCAGTCTCTTATGTTGTCATGAACATTTTTTGTCCCACTCTTCGTTATAGGGTTGCTTCAGTTGATTGCGTTTCGAGGGCTGTTGTTTCTGTGCAGCTCTCTTAATGTCCCACCAGAGTATTTCAATCAGGTTAGATCATTGTCTTGTTGCATCACCAAAGTTGGAGCAATCTTTTGCTGTCAGACAGATGGTCTCGCATTTGACTCTAGAGTACTTTGGTATTGGATGAGTTCATGGTGGACTCAGGTTCCCACATCACGTGGCTGCAAAACAAGCTCAAATCATCACCCCTCCATCTCTGTGCCTCGAAGGTGATACGCTGCATTTGATTTTCACCAAGTATGGTGCTATGCATTTTGGCTAACCATCTTCACTTTGGTCTTGGTCATTTGTTCCACAGGTCTTGTGGTTTGTTCACATGCAACTTTACAAATCTAGAGCTTAGATTTCTTTAAATTACTTTTTAACCTTTATTAAATAGCACAGTGACGAGAGAGAGTGTGGGGGGAAGACATGTAGCAAGGGACTGCATTCAGTCATTGCTGCACTCATATGGTCACCTGCTTCTGACCTAAACTGTTGCCTCTCCTTTTTTATTTTTAAAGAAGTCTATTTCTACTGGTAACCTTTCTGAATGAGCCAAGCTTGTTCAGCCTTTTTTTTTTTTTTTTTTTTTTTTTTTAAATTGTACTGTCATGAACTTTAATATTTAACAAGCTACCTGAGGTCTGAGATGTAGGTCTTGGGTTTCTTGTCATCTTTCTGATCTTTGGGTGAATTTGTTGGGAGATTCACTTGCGGGAAGACTGGCAACTCACTTGAATGTTTCCACTTTTAAAACTCCTTCTCGATGTGTGTTTTCTCTGTATCTATGAAGCGCCTTGAGGCGACATTTGTTGTGATTTGGCGCTATATAAATAAAATTGAATTGAATTGAATTGAATACACACCTGAATGCTCCAGACTTGCAAGCTGCCAAAATATCTTCTTTTATATAAGCGATCACACTGATTATCACACTGGCTGATGATCAGCTAATCAGCTGCATTTGATGAGCAGCACTGGCTCTTGCTTAAACTGGAAGCAGCAAGGGTATAATTTATATTTTACAGACTACTTCTTCACTACTTTGGTTTTGTTAAACAATATTTCAGCACAATATGGTTGTATTTACCTATGTAAAACATTAAGAGTTGAAGGAAGATGTATTTTCTTTTTATCGTGACTGTATATTTGATGTAATCAAAGTATTCAAACCATTTCCAACTCACTTATAGTTGTAGCTACTAAAATTCATATACTGAATCTTATAGGTCTATTGTAAAAAACTAATGTAGTTAATAGGCCAAATTTCAGATCTTTTTATGTTAGAAATGTAATTTTTTTGTTTATTAACTGGTCCTTGTTATATTGCTGAAGTGGCCAGTGTCAAAGTATTTCTGATTTACTCTGTGACTCGAACACTGACACGGCTCAGGCTGGATTATCACTGAAGTATTGATATTCATTTAAATGTGACCAGTGACAAGAAACTGCAGCACAATAATGCAAGAGATACATTTGAACTTTTTTCGGGAGCAGCTCAGGCGCTAGTGTAACAGGATTAACTGTAAAATGTCCTGCTCTATATAAAGTCCTGAGTCACCCCGTTTTTTTGGGGTTTTTTTTTATTTAGATTTTATACAGTTTTAAGATGCCTGAAAGTCAAACTTTTGTGCTTGAGTCATGAATGAGTCATGGAACAGTGGCTTAACAGACAAATAAATGAAAGAAATTCCTTTAAAAATGGTCAAGTACAAAAACTGGACTGAAAATAAAGTAGCCAATATTTAAAAAAATATGAAAGACCTTAAGAAAGCTTGGAGAACTCTTGCTCAATACCATTTTAAAAATGAAAAGAAATTCTGGCTCCTTGAAAGCAAAATATAGAGAAATGAAAGGAGGCCCCAAACTGCACAGTGCTGTAGACTGAACCAAAACATTATGACCACTCAGCTCAAGTCATTAACTGGTTATAACGGCGCATTTGAAGGTCTGGAATAAATTAGAAGGTAAATGAATGTTCGGTTCTCGTAGTTAACCTGTTGGATGTGCGAGAAATAAGACAGGGAACTTCTGATTTCTCAGACTCCTCCCGGACTGTCGGGTCAGAACACTTGACCTGCTGTGGAAAGGCTTGTGGGAAGGTCCTGGTTGGTGGTGGTTATTATCTGACTGACAGTAACACTGCTTGATGGAACGTTTATTCAGCGGAGCTTTCCTTGCAAGGAAAGTTACTTTTTCTTTAGGAATGGTAGAATGGCTTAGTGAAACATCCTCCGAACTCAAAACCACTTTATCCAAAAATAATAATATTCCTGGTTGTTCATTGACATACACTTTATTTTCAGTATGAGACAACAACAACAAATTAACATGCAAGCCTCCCTATCTCTACATCATGTTATACAAATAATGGTTCTTTAGTTACAAAATATATAAATATTTAAGACCATATGTACAGGACATTTACATTACTACATCCATTATTAAAGTTTATTACTATATATACATCTAGTAGGTATTATTCTTTAATATTCTTATAGTTATTATTTGTGTTATCATTATTATTGTTAGTGTTATTAGTGGTAGTATTAATCAACTATAGGTAACTCTCAAAAAAACCAAAACAAAGCATGTTGCAGAAGAGAAAACGGGACCATACCTGACGTTACTGTGCCTGAATGGTCAAGGAGCAGAGGCTGTGTGGCGCTCTGTCCTTGGTGAAGCAATGGAGAGCCGGCTATGCAGAGCACAAGGTTTAAAAGACTATTTGTACAAGGTGATAACGGGGCTAGCGAGCCAACACTATATTCCAGCAGCATTTGGATTCCACTGAGGTAAACAATGACACAGCTTGGAATCTAGCACGTAGCTTGCACTATCCCAATACAATTTCTCGTTTGTCCACACAGAATAAGTTTACTGCCCAGGGCTTGGATCACTGAGCGGTGACGTGAACAGTCATGTCACTGTAGTTTGACCACTGGCCTTTTCCAGCTGGAATAGTTCAATCTCTCTGTAACATGGGGTTCACGCACAGACACGCACACATGCCATGTTATTTTACCTTGACCACAGTCTATGTAGTTGTCAAATTCTTCAGTGCTTCCTGGTACCATCAGTTGATCTCCATCAGCGTAAACACTCCCGTTGTGTAAGCCAGCTGAGCTTCCTCTTAGGATTAGATCATTCTGTGTAGGTGTACACAAACACTACATGGTGTAGAGTTGTGTAAGCTCACAAGCACAAAAAATAGGCCTTTTTTTTCCTCTTCAACCCCACCACTCACACACAAAAGCACACACACACACACACACACACACACACACAGAAACTCTCTATTCACTCTCACTTTCAGCTGTCTCACTCTCACCTTCCCACTCCCTCTGTTCCACCATCTCTGCTGCTTTACACCGTCTCCTTACCTTTCTCTCTTATATCTTTCACTCTCCTGCTCATCCCTCCCCAACTCCTTGCTCTATATCTACGAAATGATGCAGTTTTTGCTCTTCCTCCTCTGGCGGGTGTGCAGCTGGCCATGAATCGGTCCGTGAAGAGGTCCGTGATGGCCACCTATCCCAGAGGGACTGTAGCGATGGCGTCGCTCCTCGTTATTGATGTAGCACAGCTGCACGGGCCGAGGGATTGGTTCTCCCATAAAATAAGCCTCTTCTTCCTCAGACTCGGAGGAAGAGGAGCAGCTAGAGCACCAGGGGTCAGCAGCCTCCATGTACCCATCGCCCCAGCACGGCCCGCCCAGGCCGACAGGTTGCCAGCCAGCATTCTGCAGGGTAAGATCAGAAGTGGTGCGGGGACAGGGCCGGTGAAGCTGCTGCCTGTACCCGCCCGGGTCCAGCCCGAACAACTCCCGTGCAGCATGACCAGAGGGGAAACGATCATAATCCTCCTGAACGCGACGGTACGGCGGCTCCATCATTTGAGCAGGCCGGTCTGCCACCAGGTGCAAGGCGTTGTCAGAGCGAGAGCGGCGAGAGCGTTTGTGGTGGCGGCCACTGCGGTGCTGGCCGTTGCCGTTGTTCCCACGATGATGTTTGCGGCGTCTGGGTTGTGGCTGCTGGTTCTGGGACACAGATTCCTGCCCGCTTAAGCTTCGGCGGGGCATTCTGTCACTCATGGGAGCCATCCGCAGATTCCCACTGCTGCCCATCACCCCGACACGACCTTTACCATCAAAGCCGAGCGGCTGTGGGCCATCCCAGTACTGCAGTGGGTAGCCGACTCTCAGAGGGGTGTACATGTTGTTGTTGTTGTTGTATGGGCGGGAGGAGGACAGCGATTCTGTGCTGTGGAACTGGACTGAGGAGCTGAGGGTACCCATGTTGCTCTTTTCAGACACATTTACACCTGAATCCTTACTCAGGTCAGGCATGGAAAACCTTGACAGATGCTCCTGACGCTTGCTGACTCCATCTAGAGAGTTACCTGTTACAACAAGAAAAAATAAAAAAAATCAAATGTCATTTTTTTTATATAATCTCATATAAATGACCTTAACTTTAGGCTTTTTAACCCCATACCTGTAGCATTAGACATAGTTAGGGAGTCCATGGATCCACGAGGGGTCTGTTCTAGAGGAGTGAGGGGCTCGTTAAAGCTCATGGCATTGATAGGGTTCCTCCTGGTCAGTGGCGGTCTTCCATTTCTCTGGAATCCATGCAGACTGATACTTCTCTTGTCAGAGAAACCCTGATTCTGGCTAGACATCTCATTGAAGCTCATCTGGGTGCGCAGCTTGTTGGGTCTGAACTCATCCTGGCTGTGCTGCATCCAGTTTTCATTAAAGGAGTAGCCTCTCAGGGCAGCCATAGGGGTCCTCTTGGCATTCCCTTGCTCCTTTCCCCAGGAATCAGGCCTCTTTCCTGGGTTGGCAGGACTCTGGGCTGGTGGATGAGCATTCGCATTAGGATTGTAACCTTGCCTAGCATTACACTGACCCAGCAGATGAATGGGTGTAGGGCTAGGGGAGGGATCCCGCTGAGGGCCTTCATAGGAAGGAGGGATGTAGGGGTCATCTCGGCTCATCCACACCTGGTTAAGGCTTGGGGCTCGACTAGGAGTGCGGCTAGGGGTGCGGTTAGGTGTCCTGCTTGGAGTCTGACTAGAAGTGAGGCTTAAGCGATCCATCTGACCAGAGAGGGGATCCATATCAGCAGAGAGACGGTCGGGCATCGATGGAGGAGCTGACTGGCGGGGTTCGGTGCTTCGCCTATCCTGCTCAGCATTCCTGCGCTCCTTCTTTCCGATCTTGGTGCTGTGGCGGGACTCACGTGATCGAGCACTTTGGAAGGCAGAGTCTGAGGAGTCAGATTCCTCGGGATCCTTAATTGTTAAAATAAAAATATATATATATATGTGCATAACTAGAAAACTCTTAAAAATGTATACTAATTAACAGCAGGTATATACATAACTAAATGAGGAGATGCTTCAGATGTATTTTCAGTTTCCTCACCTGTCCCGCACTGCAGGACCGTGAACAGAAAATCTGCCCCTGCTTTGGCAGGAAGGGGCGTCCAAGAAGGGAGCGCTTGCAACGGGCACAGCAAAAACATTCCTCAGTTGCATGCCAGTGCTGTCCATCATAAGTCATCTGACCTTGGTCAATGCCTTTAAAAAGATGGGAACAAAAACATTTGACCATTTTTAGTATCGACACATGACGAAAAAACATCACAAACTGATGTTAACCTTTAGCTATTAAGCAAATTTTTGTCAGATATGTTGACATGATACCTAATTTTTATCCGATATGCTGCAAGGCACTATTTAAATTATGAGCAAACAGAGCCCTTTGTCTCTCAAAGTAAAATATTTATGATTTCATGCCCACAGATGATCACTCAGTTTGTAAGATAGCATGAATAAATTTCACCAGCACTACTCCCCAGCAAGAGGAAGTAATCATCTTTCACAGCTTCCATCTGGATACAACATGGGAGCACCCTCTGAAACACACTCTTTCACTGTTACTGAAGCTTGGGATGATAATAACTATCCGCATTTCACTGCACTGAACCCGCCTCTCCACAGCTGCGGCACACAAGGCTTCCAGAGCTGATAAGAGTCACGCTTACAATAAAGGGCTGTTGGAGTTTTTTTTTCCACGAAGCAAGTACAGGAATAGCATGTCTGTCACTCTTGATAGCAATTCATTTAGATATCAGAGGACTTGAAACAACAATGAAAGCATGTTTAGTACCTATGTGTTCTCCACATGCGTCACAGTACTCTGCATAAAGGGACTCGAAGCAGTTGCAGCAGTGTGGTCGTCCATCCTTCATGATGTAGCGCTGCCCGCCAAGGGTGGTCTCACACTCGTAGCAACAGAAATGCTTCATGTGCCAGTGCCGGCCCTCTGCCTCAGTGCACTCATCAGCAAAGATGATCTATATGATTAACACATTACATTTATCAGCGAGCAGATAACACACAATATCTACCTATGTTGCTATCCTGTATCTCAGGGTCCTGTATTTTATTCGTGTCGCGACCTAGAATAGGATCCTTTTTGACATACTACCCCTTAATAGGATCATCTACCTCCACATAAACTGACAGGTAGGTTAGTAAGCTGTTAGAAATTCCACCAAAGCGTGAGTGTTCTTAAGTGTAAAAGTCAGGCATATTTCAGCTGAATAAAAGCAATAATCTAGGCATCCTTTGTGCTTGCATTTTATAATATTCATGTAATTATTTCACAAAATTACCTTATAAAGAAACTAACTTAAAAGATATGTACGTGACATCAGATTGATATCTTCCAGTTAAAGATAATTAAACAGTTTAATCAAATAGAAATTCTCTTTCCAATACTTGCAGAGCACTGTGGCCTGACTTATTATTCAAGCCCGCTCACTATAAATTACAGCGGACTTTCTGAGACGTGGCAAAGACACTGAGACATCTTTTCCCTCCAGACTGATTCCAACCCCATCCAAGTCTGTGAGCATGAACCATTCAGCCATTTCCAACCCCAAAGGGCTCCAAGCCCAGACAGGCGCACCTCATCACAGGCACAGCAGCGGGGTTTCAGCCTCTCGGCATGGTGCCGGCCACAGTAGATCTTGCCATCCTGGTGAAAGTATATGAGGTCCACCAATACTTCCTCGCATGTGCCGCAGACAAAGCACTGAGGGTGCCAGCATTTTCCATGACCCGCCCTTGGTGCAAAAACTACAATGTCCCCTCCATTTATCTGACCCCCACACTGTAGAGAGGAAAGGAAAAGAGAAGAAATAAAATTCAATGAAAAGAAACAAAATCAAATGAAAGGTACGAAAGAAAGTGAGAGAGTCAGGTAGTGTTGGAAGAAAAGGCAGACAAAGAAAGAATGAAAGCTGTAAGGTGTGAAAAGAGACAGTATTGAATATTTTCAAGACTAACATGCTTTTATGAAGGAGAATTAAAGATATTTGCTACACAGACGATGCCCCAAGTCTGGAAAAAGTAGGTCATTATGCAAGGAATGATGTTGGTTTACCTTGTCACAGGCGGCCCCATTGATAGTTAGGGGGAAAGGACGGACATTGCCTCGGCCCAGGTTATCTTTCTTCCGTTGGTTGCTGAACAGCTTAAGCTCTCGTTTCTCCTCCTCGTCCAGTGCATTACAATATCGTACCTGAAACAACACGACTCATCATTAGAGCTGAAACGCCACCTAACCTCTGGAAATCATAAGAGTAAAGAAAAGCTTTCATGTATTACTCAGAATTTTGTTGTGTAGTTTTACCTCATTGTCATGTGGTGGCAACTGGTGAAGCAATTGCTTGATGCGGTATTTCTCTCCAGGGCTGTTGATATAAGGGACCTTCTCCTCTGGTAAGCAGTTATAATACTGATGCACCTGAAACAAAGAAAATCAAACATGTGGTTTTGCTCTTGAGTGACCTCTCAATTTCAAAATGTGTTTCAGCACATTTGACAAAAGGTAAAGTAAATATTTTCTACCCCTTTTTCAGTGTGCTTAGTCTCAACTCAACCCGATATAAATATTCTACGCGTTTTGTTACAAAATCCTTGATTATGTTAGTTGCTAACCGCATCTGTCTGCTGTTTGGTGGAAAGTCGGAGAAAATGTTTCTACATAATTTGCCAAGTTCTTTACATCACACACAAAAGCATGATGGATGAAGTAAAAACATCTGTTTGGAGGTTGAAAGTTTCGATTTATGACACAAATTTGCATATTGCACACAATTCTTTTTTATTTTAATTTGTACTGCAATATAAGGTTTTGTTGGATAAGGAGTTGTTTCAGAGTTTGTCTTTGGACATTGACTGCTTTTTGTTTTTACTCATTTCCAGTCCAGGTCTTGTACCTCACCATTTTAGGAGAAGTCTTTTTTGTTTGTAGAACAACTTAACACTGACCTATAAATCATTCAAGCTTAAAAAAGGGCACCCAATTCAAGGTACGAACCAGTGTTGTGTCTACACATAAAAGCAAGTTAGTAAATTGTATCATCGGGCATTTGCAGCCTGTTGCGAAAAACATCTTTAGTTAAGCCTACAAAACATGCCAAAGATAACATTGTTCGACACATATTAATTGTATTTTTGCACCAACACCATGAATACCAGTTATTAGCCAAAAACGTGATCAGCATGGTGTGCAGTGTGTCCTTACAAAATTTGAGGTAACTGGACAAAAAAAAATACACTATCCAAGAAGCTGATTAAACAAGAACTTGACTGAAAATCAGTGGCAACAGGTCTTATGGAGTGATGAATTTAAATTCAAAATTTTGCTTCAAAATGTCATCAATATCTACATAGAAAGCCAAAAGATAGGCACCACAGTGGGCATCTACACCCATCTTTAAAAACACAGTGGAGGTTCTGTCTTGCTTTGGGACTGCATTTTAGCCAGTGGTGTTGGGGATCTTGGCAAAACTAATGGATGAATGCAGAAAAGTACAATCCAATTTTGATCCAGCATGCAAAAAAATCTGGAAAGCATCTGGTTGGCTGCAGCTTCATTTTTCAGCATGACCATGACCCCAAACACACTGCCAAGTAAAAGCCCACCTGGATTAAAAAAAATAAAACAAATCAACACAGAATGAAAAGCCTATCAGTCATGGATTGGCCTCACACACCTCAATATTATTCAAGCAGTGTGGGATGATCTTGACAGAGAACAGAGCAAAAAGACAGCCAATATTCAAAACAAGCTTTGAATGTCCTTCAAGAAGCCTGCTAAACATCCCCTGCAGATTAAAGAAATTAAATGAAAGCTTGTCTAAGTGCGTTCAGACTGTGTTGAAGAATAAAAGGTGTTGATACTGTATTTATATACTGTAAAATTTACCGCATTGTTATCGAAAGAAACAATACAGTAGAGAAATGAGGTCCCTTAAGACTTTTGTACAATACAGCAGATGAGGTTGAACAGTTATTCAAAAGAAGTAACTATGATAAGATGAATAAATTATAAGCTATTTTGTTTCCGTATTTTAGCTTTAAACCACATGAACACATGAGACTGAACAATCTGAAGAGAGCAGGAATTCATATTCAGTGCAGCTCTGACACGAGTAAACCACAATAGTAAAGGTGGGCAGAAAAAGAGCAAGAATAAAACACTTATGTGATCCACTGTAAATATCAAAATATTAAATGGAAAGTACTGTACTCATTTTTAAACTCCTGTTCCTGATCTTTAACTTTCATAGAGTACTTTGCATGAGTCAGTTCAAAAATAATCTTTATTTAATTTGGACTTTTCCTTGATGGAACTCCTCAGTTTACTCTTCATCTAACAAACATTTTTAGTTCTGTTTCTAGTTCCTCAAAGACAACTTTCTTCTGCTCGGCTGGCACTCACAAATAGATGGTTTAAACAGCCGATGAGTTTGGGCTGCTGTGCTCACAACTGGAACTGTGTGTCTGAGATGACCATGTCGAAATTATCTACTCTTTTTCACATCATACAGAGGTGAGAGTAGAAACTGATCGTTTAGTCTGAAGCCTGGGGTTGTGGCTTTTATAGATTACAACAATGAATTTTAAACCATGATTGATCTGTGAATTCCAATTATAAAATTATGATAGACAGAAGAAATAACTATAATTTCTTTAGTTATGTCAAATTTAAAGTATATTTTAAAGCTGGCCTATACAATAGCATCCAAATATCCACAATTTGTTCTTTATACAAAGATAAAAGTTGGCTGTTTTAAATAATCTACATTATTTCACTGATTCATGGAAAAAAATTTATGTCTCGCCCTTGGAAGTTGGTGTCTGGAATTGAAAGTGTTCAGCACATTGAGATGTGTGCTGCTGCTGCAGGCACAACCTTGAACAGCACCAGGTTCTTTAAATTTTCAGCAGCTAATATTCACATTGCTTAAAGGAAATCTTAAACTTGCACTGCAATTATAATTCACGATGCAGTAGCACTTGCCATCCGTGCCCTGAACCCTCTTTTGTAATTAAATGCTAGCCGATGAAACAGAGAAAAAGCCTTGAACGGTGTTGGAGAAGTAAACACTGAAAGGATAGAAAGCAATCTTGTTACTTGTCTCGGATTTTCAACAGAACAGGCTTTCAACGCAAAGTGGTTCAGTGTTCAGTGCAGTGTAAAGATCTATTTTACTGAAGTTTCTGCTGATTCAATTTACTTAATCAGTAGGGTGGAGAGTGAGAGAGAAAGGCGGTTCTTCTCTGTGTTGCCCGTCACGCTCGCGCTTTACTCTGTGCTGAGGAGGGTGACGCCGACTCTTATGAGAGCCAAAATCATTTGCCTTGAACTACTTTTCTCTGAGAACTGTCTCTCAACTGTGCAACAGGTGGATGGATATTATATTATATTATCAAATATTAAGCACATCGACAAATAAGAACTTTCTTCACTTTCTTCGAAATGTCTTTGTTAATCGGGAAGAAAAAATACTTTAAATCAGGGATAAAACTTCACATTCATTCAGTGTAAAGACATTTTCTACATATAAACGTAGAAATGCTGCTGGAGGAAATGAATGACGACTCTTTTGGCTCAAGTTGTAAGAAATAAATGTGTAAAAATGACAGAGTAAGCTACAGACTGTCCTGTAATTATAAAATGTAATTGATTTTTTGGTGTTTTTAATTGTTTATTACTTGTTTACTTTGGTGTATAAATAGCCAGTAGGATGCTGTTTTTAGTAGGAAATGCTGAAATTTATGCCTTCAGTTATGTCTTTCCAAAGCCGCCCAGTGGGCCAAATTGAAGTCGTTGGCGGGCTGATTTTGGTCCTCGGGCCTTAGGTTTTTAAATGTGATCCATTTCATGCAAATTTGTATAGGACTCCAGTTTATTTTCATTACTGGTTACCATGTTGGACCAAAAATTGCATTGTCTCCATATTGCTCAGCTTGTCTAGTCCAAAATCCACAGGTAAACAGGAACAAGTGACCTTGACAATAAATGCAAAATTGATAAACTAACTAATTAAACTAGCAATAATTCAGCTCTGAATTTACTGGAATCTCTAGCCCACCAAATCTTTTTTTTTTTTTTTTTTTTACCTTGAAGCTCTTAAAGTAAGTTGTTTAGACAAAAAAAAGCAAAAACATGTTACAACAAATCTTGAAAAGATCTATTGTTAACAAAGTTCATTCCTCCCATCCAATCCTGATACAACAAAACATTTTTGAAACAGTAAATGTTTTCAGCTGGGGAATTTGAGTCCTGACAGCTTGATGAACTATGCTGCAAAATTGTGATTATCTTTTAAAATGCAAGTCTCTTTAATTGTACAGAGAGAAATCAGATGTGACGGGCTTAAAATTCATTACGTTCAAGTGTATTAAAAAAAGAAACGGGCAGCTTCAAATTGCCTGCACCTCCTGTTGGATGACAGAGGCTGCAGCCTCTTTCAGCATCCTGTCAAGATGGCTGACTGGAGAAAATGACTGTTATCAGCCCATCCTGTCATCTGTTAACAGAATACTAGGAGGCCTGTTGCATTGGAGTCCTTCTCATACTAAATAAAGACAGAAGTGTTTATACCGAATATAGTTGAACACGACCGTGCTTATCTTATGTTAGAGCTGACAAAAACAACAGGCAAAAATAAAAAATGAGGAGGAAATATCCTCTTCTGGATTTACAGAGCCAATTGCATTAGCTTGGTCATGCATGCAATTAAAAGGCATTTAAACTGCAAATGAGTCCAGACAGAGAATTGCGAAACTGGTACGCATAAACATGCTGCCACACATTTCCAATTAGATTCATCCAAACATTCACTGACTCAAATTACTTCCAGTCCTCTGGGTTTAAATTTGCTAAGTTACAGTAAAAAACAGAGCAGACTGAGGCTTAGTGTGCCTAGAAGACCACTCAGTAGTCATCATGTTTACTCGATACTGATCACTGAAACAGCTTTTTCAAAGTGAATCCTCCTATATAGTTGAAATTCTTGTACTTTAAACTCATCAGAGAGTATTTCAACATTTCATCAAATCTTTTGCTGCTTCGCATCTGTTCTTCAGACATTGCAATCAACTAATCAGTGTGTGGTTGCTTTTCATGATTTCAGTCATGGTTGTCAGTCTGTCTGACTCTCAATTTGGTTTCTACACAAAGTCAGATTAACACTGACAGCTGTAAAATGTCCTTACAATTATTGCTCCCTGAAATGCTTGACAGCATAGCCCTAGTCTACTGTAAGTCATCCCTGCCCTTCTCCCCACTCTAACCCGTAAGAGACTACAGCACCATGAAGGGGATTTCAAACAATGATGATATGTTGTTGTGTTTTCAGATGAGTGAATTTTCCAGCTCGGGATTACTTCGATAGATAATTTATTATCCAAATAATTTAATTCTCTTGACTGACTTGGTTCAATTTGATACGGTCTGGCACTGTTGAACAACAACGGAGAATATCTAATGAAGTACTTATTTGCGTCATAGTTTGTTTGTATCTGTAACTATATACCTGCTCAGGACTGAGGCCAGGGGGAACCCAAGCATATTCCTCCAGTGCACATCCAGAGTCATCATCAGAGGTGGAATTCCTCTGGAAATCGTACATCAGCTTGGTGATGGTCTTCTCCATCTCCAGAGACATGGCTGTCACAACATGCTCCACTACCCAAACCGCTTGAGTGGACACAGGTATTCCTGTGGAGGAAACAGGCAGGAGAATGAGGGCGAGGCAAAAAGAGATTGCAATAACAAAAAAAAAAACGACAGATGATCTAGACCAGCGGTCCCCAACCTTTTTTGCGCCACGGACCGGTTTATGCCCGACAATATTTTCACGGACCGGCCTTTAAGGTGTCGCGGATAAATACAACA